TTCTCCCCCGTTGGGCTCTGCCCATTTTTTCCCATGAAGTTATGGATGAAAAATATGAGGATTTTTTGCCTTGAGTGATAGTAAAAGGACTTTTCGATGTTATATGAAGTTATTACTGAGGTCTTTAGTTTCGCCCGAACTCCTTACGGCTTATATTGAGTTAGGACCATTATTATGAGTCTTGGAGTTACCAATAATACTGTAAGATGGCAGTTCCATACGAACGTTCCCCTGGGCTTTCTGAAAGGTTGAAAAGTAGTGCGTCTTGGTTCCTACGCCTTTAAAGTCTAACTGGCCAAGTGGTTCGCAGGCCGGACTGGTATTTCTTGGAAGGAGCTCCTGACCAACGTATTTCTTGCTAGTTGATGTTGTTAACTGGGGAGTTAGTTTTCTAAAATAAGGAGATGGAGTTGAGTTGTATGTTTGGTGAATTTTACTCAGGTTTTTCTCATTGCACTTCGAGTTTTCCTGAGGTTTATGTCTTTATTTTTTGCTTTTTGTTTTTCTTGGTCACTTTTTTCGGTGTAACCTTATTTTCTTTGGGGGTGGGGGATACTGGAAAATTTGATCGTCATGGTGGCTTGGTGTTACAATTTTCAAAATCGATCATCATTGGGGTGATAAGGGGGGTGACAGGTTGGGTACCGCAGTTTTTGTAGTATGCTGATCAAGGTGGTCACATGATGGACTATCATTGGATTGACTTATCTAGGTAGATCTTAGGTCGATGGATTGTTCGCAATGAGGTGGGTGTCCTCCGTTTGGGATCGTTCGAAATGAGGTGAGTGTCCCTTCGGGATTGCATGACACTAAAAAGTTCCCCATCGGCTGAACTGCATGACACTAAAAAGTTCCCAGAGGTCTTTGTGAAATAGGTTTGTTATCCATAGTATGTAGTCAAATAGGGGAAATTGAATTTTAGGCATTTTTGATAGTGCTAATGGTAGCTCTGAGGTTCTTTACCGATTCTAGGAGTGGGTACGGCGCTGGATGGGTTACGTATAGCATAGTCAACTTTACTCATTTTGAGATATATTTGGGGGGAGTAGCCGTAGTTATTTATATAGAGAGGGTGGAGTTTTTAATCTTAGCTTTTCTTATTTGTAATTTCGGAAGATTATTTGTTCTTTGTTTTTCTATTAGTTCTGCACTTGTTGCGGTACTTTTTAGATCACTCTGTGTTTCTCTAAAGTTACTTCAGCATTAATTAATAAAATTCAAGCTCATGCTATGTTTACCTCGACAAGGACTGATGATTGATGATCATCGTACTTTCTCTCCCGTTGGGCTTTGCCCATTTTTTCCCATGAAGTTATGGATGAAAAATATGAGGATTTTTTGCCTTGAGTGATAGTAAAAGGACTTTTCAATGTTATATGAAGTTATTACCGAGGTCTTTAGTTTCGCCCGAACTCCTTACAGC